TAGATCAGCGGGCCCCCCGAGATCCTCCGTCGGCCAATGATCACGACGGGGAGGTCTGATCTCAACGTCCTGCTCAGCCTGGCATTGATCAACCGGCCCGCACTAAATCAAGCTGGGATCCACCCGGTTAAAAATGTCTGGAATTTCCGAATTACAACGATCGTACGTAGTACAGAACACCTGCCCGCCCGTACTCACTCTGTACTCTCAGACTCCAAATGGGCAGGTGGTTACTGCGACCATGAGATACTACCTCCAACCTACCTCACTGAATCATCTGAACCTGCTTCATCCTTGTAAGGCAAAGCAACCCTCGCTCAGTTCTCCTCCCTTAGACTTACGGAGTAGAGCGAACAAAGGAATTCCTCAAGTCTATTGCTGCAGGCTTGCATATGCAAAGGCAGTCGCGCATGCATCACCCTCCTGACCCCTGTCATTTTCCGTTCTTCCGCAGATTAATATTTAAATGGTTTGGCCGGGCGCGCGCCAATCAGAGGGGCCGGAAATGCTGGACGTCGCAAAGACGGTGAAGATGGAATTACAGTAATGGGGGGTTCATGGAGGCACGATGGCGTAGCGTGGAACCGGACCACTTCCAGGAACTAACTATTGTTTATGATATGGAGATTTTGGAGCAAAAGACCTTCCCTATCAATCAATCCATTTAATTAATTTACGAGGTTAATATAAATAAATGGGGATGGTACCTTTTATTTTCCTGTTTCTGGCACCGGGGGGGAGAGTCGAGCCAGAACCACAAGTTACAATAATTCTATTTATTTCTATTTTATTTTATTTTATTTTCTCCTTGATCTGGGCTCTATTCCCACTGTAACCGATTCTGACTGGTCGGGTGTCGTATCCACGATTACGACTCGGCTTAGCGTCGACCGTCGAAGAAGGGTGGGAAAAGAAGGCGCTTCCAAAATTTGGGCCATCCGTTGAAACAGATCCATGCTTCCTTGGTCTTGCATAGAATCCCATCTCGGTTATGTTGGATCGGATATACCCGATCGCATGGAAGAAAAGCTAAACAGTTTTTTACTTTGGGTTGCAGGCAGGTCGAATAACTTTAAAAGGGGGGGGAGAAATAATGAAGACGTTGGGTTCATAAATTATCAGCATAAATAACCAGTTGCAATATACGGTGTATGAATCCTCCCCCCTCTGACCTTCTGGCCCTTCTGGCCCTTCTCAGCCTTGACAAAAAACTCGATCGTGTTCGAGATCCACCTATCGAGCTTGTAGCTAGCATCTACTATTACGGAGTATTTAGTACGAATGATAGTTACTGTGTAGCACCGCACAGACTTCCCAAGTTACCCGTACCCTCAAGTTCCTTGTGTCCGACTGTCCGGGTCGGGGGACCAATTGCTCGTGTTGACGAGTTCATTCGTATGGAATACGTTTCCCCAGCATCATCCACTTGAAGGAATCGTTTATTACTCTCCCGATGTTAGTTATCTCTATACTAAAAGTCTAAAACCAACATCGCTTGCTTCGTGTAGCGACTAGCGAGCCAAGAGGGAAAAAAAAAACAAATACCATCTCCAAGCCCCACAGCTCCGCACCATCGATTCGAGTCATCAACATCCTCGATGAATGGACACTGGATGACTGGATAGACGGACGGATAGAACACGAAGAAGAATCGCAAAGAAGGGGCCAGAGATACCTCCCCCCCCCCCCCCCCCCCCCAAAAAAAAACAACAACTAAGCTAAACTACTCCGGTGTAAAAGAAAAAAAAAAGCCCCAGGTTTCCAGCATCCACTGGATAGACCGTGGACATCTCAAAGACGCGGCCGTTTCACATCACGCGCTAGTCGACCCTTGGTCATGGGTCGGTTGGAGCGTTTTATCTGGCGAGCAGGGGCCATGAGCAGATCATCGCTTCTAGATGAATTGTTGGAACGCCGCGGGCACTTAATCACTACTTACTTTAGATGGAGGGGTGAGCGTTTTCCCGAACAGGAATACGGGCATGGGTTCCAGGGTTAGGTTTGATGGGGTGACCGAGTCAAGGGCAAGTTTCAGGTTTTTTTTTTTTTTTTTTTCCGTTTTTCTTATTTTGGAACCATGGTTAAACGGCTCTCTCGCTCGCTTCGTGGTTGTCGACATTGTGACGATGTAAGACAAGTGTAACTGTCATTTCCTTGAATCGTCCACGGGTGTTGGGGACGTGCGTTTTGTGTTGAGTCACGAGAATAACGGGGATATCTGTGTACTCCTACGCATGTCGCATGTGCTATATTTGGTCTATTATGATCAGACCCGAAAATGAGATACAGAAGTAATCTATCTGGAACGGTCGCCGTGGGTGTGATCCTCGCCTACGCAGTATGCATATCTTAAACATGTAGTCTATACTCCATGGGGTAGTATAGCAGCATGCTGTAGCAGCTGCAACTCGGAGTCGACGAGGCAACGTTACGATTCATTTACTATTACGAGTTACTCCGTACTATTAATATAATTCTTCTGCGCCCGCTCACCCTGAAATCCTGACGTTACATTCCCCCGACGCATAGTAAGCTTCACCCTTTCGCTTGCCTTCCTTCCCCAACACCCATGCTCCACTTGCAATATATTAAAGCAGATCTTGCGACAATTGTTGGGGGCCTCGCTCGGTTATAAATAAAACCCCCCCCTTTTAGATATTAAGTGCTGAGGCCGATCAGACGAGCTAGCTTCGTTTCAACTGTCAGATATTGCTTGGTCTGAGGCCGGTCAATGAATTAATTAACTTGCAATATACGTTAATTCCGTTGCCCCCTACAATTCGCATCTGCTTTCCTCGTTGGGCGAAAGGTGATTCAGGGGGTAGATCATTGAATCGAATCGGTCGGGTCGAGAGCATTGGAACCAGATTGTCATTTCATGAATGTTTGTCAAATTCGAATCGCCTTCAACGTACGGCGCACATTGGTAACGGTCGGTCTCCACAGGCCGAGCCGATTACCCACGCCGGCAGCAAAAGAGTCGAAAATCAAAAGTCATCACGATCGATCGGAACGGCAATACGTCACGTTGCGCAAGTAGCGAGGAACTAATCGAATCTAGTTTCAACGCTAGCGATCAGTATTCCAAATCACAGGTAAAAAAAGATCGTGGAGTAATTCTTGTGATCATCTCATCTATGCAAGACGGCTCCTGAAGAATTTCTGAATTCTGATTGTTTTGACACCCCTGTAGTAAGGATCCTGTGATCTGTTTCGTCTAATTCGTACCCCATGTCAATAACTGTTGATTAGTTAATACTCCACCTCCTTAGTGAGCCAGTATTCCGTAGGGAGTAACGGGCAGGTATGGTGTATCGATGCAAGCACTGCGAAGCGACAATGGCCAAGTCATTCCGCTTTGGCAATGAAAAATAATGACGGATGCGCGGGATAATTGAACGATGAGAGGTACTTTCGTCCTTGTCGACTCACCCTTGAATCGCCTCTGGGGTCCGACTCCCCAAGCTGACCGGTATGTAACTAACCAGTTAGTGAGTTAACAGGACCTAGATACGTAAGCCTGAGTGGCCACAGACGAAGGCTGGCTGAAACGGGCATATTCCTCCCAGATGTAGCACGTACGGAGGAGATGGCAATAATAGCCATTTCCTGATACCGCAGGACTCGGTTGTTCCAATTGCAGCTCGACGACCCCGATTCTTGGATCAGCACGGTTGCAGGGACCATATGCACATCTGTCGGTGGCTGCTGCATCCGTAGCGTTGTGGCGAGTCAGGTAGGGGGAGAAGTGTAGTTAGCTGCTAATAGTAAGCCGGGGAATACGAATCGCAGAAGACGCCGGGTCAGTCGAGGCTGGTGGCCAAAGTCGTGGCCACGCAGGTGTCGGACGCCGGTTCCTGTGGCGGCGACCTCCTTCTTTCGCCTTTGTCTTTCTCTTGAACTGGTTGATCCCCGCAGGCCCTGATTCCTGTAGCAAGTCCGGAGTACACCGTACACACAGAATGACAAAAATACCAAGTACGATGGACTTGAAAAAGATTCCCCGGGATTTCGAGGGCGGGAATGCATATGTCCCAACTCGTACGCGCATCAAGAAAAAATATCGCAGTTCGCCTAGGCAAGTTAGATGGTCAAAAAGAGAAAGGAACGCTGAGCTGGGCTGATCTTCCGGGTCCAAACCGTTGATGATCAAGGGGGGGCCGAGAAGCAAAGGGCGAAGCAGCATGAACGGCCCAGGCAAACGGAAGGAGGGGAGGGGAAACTGGCTGCGAGTTGGTGGAGGATAAAGTTTAGGTATCAACCTTACCTCGAAGATGGATAACTGGAAAGGAATTCATCCACTGCACGTCAAGGTTTGATGCGGAATTCTGGCCCCTCCCCTCCCCTTCTCCTCCTGAGTCGACGATGAGGCGGAGCTCACAGGAATCCAAGCCGTCGCTACTACTGGTAGGTATGCATGAACCATACATCCACTCATCGGGTTTCATGAAAGGCTCGGGGAGGAAGAGGAAGGATTGGTGGCTGTCTGGTCGTATGGATGGCACTCATCAGCTGGATTGCAAATAGACCCATCGATTCCAACTTCCCAAGATGGATTTCCATGCATGCGAACGCTGGACTTGGTCCACGCCTCTTTGGTGGTTTGGTTTTTATTCATTGTCAATTTTTTTTTCCCTTTTCTTTCCCTTTTCTTTCTTTCCTTTTCTTTCTTTATTGTGAACTATTTCTTCTTTGAGGGGATGGTATGGGGCGACGGTGGAGGTCTGGTCGTCCGCTTCGTAAATTCTAGCCACCCCTTGCGTATTCCTCGTGAGTCTGTGGCATTTCACTGGGAGACAAGAGCTGGTGACAGCCAGCCACCAAACGACGGAGGATAAGCTGTGTCGTATCCTATGGGCCCTCCTTTCACGTCGCAAAATGATGATGGGCACATTGTTTTGCCACTTCCAGGCCATCACTGTCGGTATGGGAGTCCAGCTAAGTAGAAGACCGGAGACGGTGGTCATTTAGAATACAATAAGTTTAAGAATGGATAGCGATGTAGAGATAAGCAAGCCATTGGGGTATTAATATTAAGTCCGAGCATGAAAATCTTCCGTAATAACAATACATGCAAAGCCAACGTTCAAAATCCGGAAGTAATCTCCACTGCAAGACCTTCTATGAGCCCAAAACATTCACCGGATCACCCTACAGTGACCGTGAAATCACAAAGCCAGAGAACGCCGTTTCCAATAAAATGCTTTTAAGGAAGAAGCAAAAAAAAAAATCAGCTCAAAAGAAATTGAACCCGCCAAATGATTCGATCACCCAAAAAAAAAGAATACCATCCATAACCCACGTGACCCGACGTGGGAATCAGGGGAGAAAACAAACAACAAAGATATACAGGATATAGGTACAAAGGAAAGAATAGTGTCAAAAGAGAGACATCGGTCGGTGGTCACACATATACATTAGACGCTTCCAGAACATCACCTTGGAAAGCAAATATCAACACAGTAGAACGTAAAGCAGACGGTCGTGCAGTCATTAATTGAGCAGGTTGTCAAGACCCATGCGGGAGTCACGGGGAGCTTCGGCCTTGAACAAATTCGATCGAGGGCCCTCCGGGGACATGGGCCAGGTCTGCGGTAGGAGAGCAGAGGGATGGTTGAACGACCGACGATCGGAAGCCCATCGCTGCTTGAGCGACAGATCGGAGAAAGGCTCAATGGCTGCTGGAACTTGGTGACTGGCAGAGAAGTAGACATCGTCTGAGGACTGGATCGGTGCACTTGGTCTGCGCAAATCGCCGTACTGCTGGCGGTGATCAAGCGGGAAAGGTAGAAGTTGCGGGGAAGAGACGGTTCGAGGAGACGCGGAGGAAACTGAGTTGTGGTCAGAGACCATGGAAGGGGGTTCGATCGAGAGGGTGTTGGAGGCTTCGGAGAAAGCAGGCGAGGTCAAGGGAGTTTCGACCGGACAGTTGAGAGCCGGAAGTGTGTAAATGGGGGTCAACTGCCGGGGGCAGTCGATGGACGTGGTTGAGCAAGAGTCCCTGCGGGAGGGCGATTTCGACCAGGAAGTCAAAGGTCGGTCGTGGGAGATGGATGAGTACCGAGAGTGACTGATTGGGCTGCCCAGGCTGGTAGAAGCGCGCGCATACGGAGCCTCGACTCGGCCGTTGCAGGTGCGTCCAGGATGAGGTGTGGCTGACGTAGGCAGTCCTCTTCTCTTTCGGTTCATGCTACCGTTCCACCAGTTTTTGACCGCATTGTCGCTTCGGTTGCCCAGTCGTCGGGCGATTTCAGCCCACCGCTTGCCCATTTCACCCACAAGGCGCTCAATCATGATCCCCTCCTCGACGGAGATGGGCTCCCGGTTAAGCGATGGCTTGAGATTCTGGTGGAAACGCTCCCGACACTGCTTGGGAGACCGGTAGTGCATGTGTGAGGAGATGCGAACCCAGTTGTTAGGGCCCTGCTCGCGAACCAACTGAAGCAGCAACTGGTCCTCCTCAGGGACCCAAGGTCCTCGACGGTGAGTGGGAGCCATTTCAGATAAAAATGGGAGTTCAAAGAACTGCGACTCTTCTTTTCTTTTGATTTAGATTTCTAAGGGATGATGTTAGAAACGATGATCAGAAGAATAAATATGCGAAGCACGGAAGACGAAAGTAGTAATGAAAAAAGAGAAAGCGTTGAGTGCGTGGGTGGTGGGTGAATGAGTGAAGTCGGGATGAGGTAGGTAAGGGCAAGATGAGCGGAACGGAGAATAATAGTGAAGTCAATAAACCTTCAGGCACGGGAGTGGTCTTGAATGACCACAACGGCAGAAAGCGGGCGGGGAAGATTGACGTAGGTTTAAGGGAAGTTGGTCCTTACCGTGAGGGCTTAGCGTAGACCCCAGGGACTCGAACCGCACAAAGTCGGAAGAAGTGAAGAACAAAAGGATTCGAGTAGTAAGGAAGCAGTGACCAATCCACCCAGGTACTTGGGAGAGGGTTGAAAAAGTAAGGTTGAGAGGTTGAGGATTTAAGGTTCCAAGGTGATGTTCTCGCAGGTGGTAGTTATACCTGTGGGAGGGAAGACAAGGACTTTGAGATTTATAAAGATGGAAGACAAGGCAACATAGAGAAGGGATGGAGATGAAGGCTACGATCAATTATTATAGCAACAAGCAGCAGCAGAAGAATACAATGACCAGGGAGACGGGTCAGAGAAAAATGGACTACTGCTCCACACCCAGAGCACGCTATAGGAGAAGATCTGATCCAAGATCTCGGAGCTGACAGTTGTCGGAGGAATAATAATAAAAATGATAATTAAGAATTCGAAAATCGAAAATAAAATAAAAAATCATTTTTTTAACTCTGATTTTATTTTATTCAATTTTTCTGGCAGGGGTGGAGGGTCTCCCCGTTTTAATACGCGCTTGGTATTTGACGAAGCGTCGGTAAAGTATCCAGTACACCGTAAATGTACGGAGTATTGTCACTTATGACAGCATTTAGTCACCTGCCTATTCAGGCAGTGCTACCTTTCTTCTGCCTGAGGTAACCCCTTGAGAGCTATCCCTAGACACGAACACGGCCTACTGTGTAGCTGCGCAGGTTGCCTACAGTCTCCGACCCCGTGCTTTCTGTCGTCGAGGGAGAACAAAATTACCCACCACACATGCCCGACCGACCTGGATCGTAATAATTACACAAGTGGGGAAGTTGGAAAAGATGCTAACGGACTAGTATGCAGTATCTCTTTAAGGAATAAGTCAGATCCATCATTGACAGGGGAATAATTTCGAAGCAACCACAAGTTCACAACCAAGCACCCATGACCCTCCTTCGGAAAAAGCAAAAAAAGGAGACAGCGAGAGAAGAAAAAAAAAAAAAAAAAAAAAAAAAAGGAAAAGAGGGCTAGCTACCAATTGTTGCAGCTGGCGTTTAGATCGTGGGGGAGATTTGCCACTATATGATTATAGTGACTGAGTCTACCACCGGATCGGTGTTGCAGCAGGGATGTTAGCGGTACTATTGCTGGCTGTGTGAAACACAGGATGTACATCTCGTTTCTATTTATTGACTTCCGTCGGGGATCCTGGACATATACTTCGGGGAGAGCGATATATTGTGTAAGAAACAGAAACGATTCCCTTTAGGAATCCCATGGTCTCCGCGGCAGGGCGAACCCAGGCGTGTTACCCTGTGGATTAACAGTGTGATACTACGTAATGCACAACATCGGACATAGCTACACTAGTACTGGATTCAATTTTTTCTGCTAAGTAGATATTCACAAGCACTTCCGGGTTCTAGATTACGGAGCATGGCGAGGATCTTCATAATTCCCCTATAGTCTAATTAGAATTTGTTATTCTACTTCGACAGCGACAATCTTGCCGTCTCCCAGAGTCCCAGTCCACCGGTACGTGTTTGTGTGCAGCTAGTGGGGGTGAGATCAGGGGTTAAACGAGAGGACAGGAAACATTAATGCCATGCCTTGACCATTAGTTGCAGCAGTCGGGCGAGAAAAATAAATTAAACGATATACGGGATTGACGCACGCCTACACGGGAATAAGAAAAAATAAATAAATAAAACATAAGGGGAGAGGGGGGGGAGGAAAATAAAAAGTATGGGCGAGCATTTCCATGCTACCGATCCAACAAGGGAAAAAAGGAAAAGAAAAGAGAGAAAAAAAAAAGAAAAAGAAAAAGAAATAATAGTACCAAGATCCGATCACCACCCACGTCGTCCAATTACCGCTTCCCCGAGCCAAGAGCGATTCATCGACCAAACCGATGGGTAGGAAAGTGGGTTACTGGTTCTGGCTGATTTGGCCCATGCTCGTCTAAGTTCAGGCCCTGACAGGAAAACGGGAGCGGCAGAAACGGTCTGGCGGAGGTAAAATGGGAAACACACAAGGCAAAGTGGGCAGCTTACGGATCCTAACTGTGAACTTACTCCTTTTACTCAAGTTATTCTTGGATTGGGGCGGTCTCAGGCTTGAATTTCGGAATTGTTGGATTTCAGGATGAAAAATGGTGTGAAGGGGGGCAAGGGAAAGCAGGGGGAAGAAACGACCAGGCGTGTGTTGGAGTCTGTCGGGGAGGGGAGGGGCAAAAAAAAAAAAGGAAAGAAAAAAGAAAAAGAAAAAGAAAAAGAAAAAGAAAAAGAAAAAGAAAAAGAAAAAGAAAAAGAAAAAGAAAAAGAAAAAGAAAAAGAAAAAGAAAAAGAAAAATCAAAGATCTAGCTCCCGCCGATAAAACATGGTTAGTGTCAGGTTACTGGTGTGTGTGTGGATGGGTGGTCGAGGAGCTGTGCCGAGATCGAGGGCAGCGAGAAACCGCCTCGAGAAAGACGCTCCAAACAGGAAACCACGAATCGGGGTCCACTGACGATGGAGCATCCATGTTTGGGTCGGTGGTCGGCCATGACAGATCCTGTTGTGCATTGTTCAAGGTCGTAATTACTCGTTCCTCCTATGAATTGTATGTGGTGTACGGGGTATACCCAAGGATTGGGGTTGGGACTATTGAATTGACCCTATATCATCATGCATGATAGATGTAATGGATTGTTACTACATGTTCTTTCTGAATTGGCGAAATCAAATTCAGTGAAATAAATAAATAAATAAATAAGAAAATAAAAATAAAATCAATATCGTCGGCGAGTCTCCAGTCTTCAGCGGCTCAGCCAGCCATCCAGGCTATCTTCCACCCACACAGAAACTCCTCTGCGCGGTGCTCCGTACCCTATTCTGATCTCTCCACCCCCCGTGGGCCGTTACCCAGTCTCCCAGACATGAACCGTTTGTGTGGGGACCATGATTGGCGCAGGGCCATCTAGTGCCCTCTCACAATTTGAAATATTTTGACTTTGTCTTTACCGGTCCGGGCTGTGATCGACATGGGGATCGTACGCAATCGCTGATCCGGAATGGGGTACTTACCTTTGTATCGGTGCCGCGAACCTGATTTGGTAATGTGTGTTAAGTTGATGTTTACTCACTACCTAAACACATACGCTGTCTACATGTAGCAGTGTGCTTGATAACCAAGCTATACCAAGTATATGGCAGCCGAGTGCCTAGGAATATGCTATATCCTTGCGCGGTGATACATATATTTTGCCCAGGCATATACAGAGAAGACACAGCAAGCACAGTCCGTATCCGATGGGCAAGGCTGGTATCGCAACAACCTCAGATAGAAAAAGCAAACCTCCAACATCCCCACTGCCCAATCAACGCTCAATATTCACAATCCTGACTCACGTTTAGCTGCAGGGTCTGTCCGGATTCTGGGTCCCAACCCAGCTCGCTTATGTCGGAAATGCGGTAGAAGAATGACAGGTCCATCGAAGCATTGTCTCCTTCCCTCCTTTCTATCCACAATGGCGAGTATGCGTGTCGTATCCGGCTGTTGGTAATCAAATCGCTGCATACTTACCCAGACCTCCACCTTACGTGCACACATACATTCCAGGTACTGTAGCTAGCGAACGAACGGGCCCATTGTATTCGGCGTAGTGCCAACTCCTGCATGAATGATAGGTACAATTGATCGGGGACTTCGGGGACCTCCAGCTGCATCATCGATGATTTTAAATCGACCTTAGGGCCATCTCGGTACTACTACGGAGTACGGAGTGCAGCAAGTAGCTTCTGTCCAGTGTCCAATGTCCATTGATTTGAATATCGTTCTATACCGGACGGGCCCGCTGTCATGGAATGGGGCGCGCCGGCAAGGCGTAGAAGACGAAGCTAAAACCCACCATACAAAAAGGATGAATCAAAGAGGATTGCTAGCCGGCCATTATTGTTCCTTGTATCCACATGTATAGCCGTCTTCAATTGGCACGACTGGTACCGATCGTTTGAGACAGATCGGAAATGAGCCTTTATGGTTGGACGATCTGAATTTCCCCTCTTCCTAGGTACCAAGACTATGGGCAGTGGGAAAAATAAGCTTCGGCAAAAGTAGTTATCACAGGGTAGTTGGAAACTCGGGAGGCGTGTGATCTGATCAATCATGACGCCCCCGATGAATCCCTCAACTTTAGGACTCTGTGGATGTATATCACACTCAGACTATTGGTGATAACGTCTACATGAGGACTGATCCAGCCTTGGAACCATGTGTTTCCGAGGCGGTTCCCTCGCCTGCTGGCCTTCCAGGAATTACACATTGGCATTGTGATAACCGAGGTCAATAGTGACTTGAAGACTTTTCACCTTTGACAAATCTCTGCTACAGCACAGAGCAGCCGACGATCCCCGCTCCGGCATGATAGAGCTAAAAGGCCTAAGACATGGTGGATAAACTCGCACTGTCAAATCTGTCACACAGTAAGTCCCCGGGCTTTTCGGGGACCTCTTACTCGCTTGCGTTTAGTTCCAGGTACAATTCCGCCGGAAGGACAGGCACCACGGGCTAAGGGGCCGTTGACATGCTCTTCATCTTCCCTAAAGCGGTTTAAAAAGGGGTACACAGTTTTTCTAAGTCATATGGAGTCCCAGAAATAATCAAACAAGCACCACAACCTGAATCGATCATCCATCTAAACGAATGAGCTAAAATAGGGTAGAAGCACGAACCCCTGAACGACTCTACATGACGTGACGAACCAGTGCGCTGCATCGAGGCCTGATTGGCGGGCAAATTAAGGTATTTGTCATTCTCATGCTGCAACGCTAGACCACTTTGGGTAATGATAGGCGGGCCAGCCGCCCGCGGTTGGGTTTGCTTCACTTTGATAGCACTCCCTCTTCGCGATGCTCTCACTTACGATATATTAAATCTAAAGGAGGGGAACAAGGGTCGTCCAGTAAGACAGCCGAGATCTGAACAATGGGATCGATAAGGCTCAATCTGATCGTGACTCCGGCGGTGGCACATCTA